TAATCCTCCTGACTTCGCCTCCTAGAGTGCTAGGATTACAGGTGTGAGCCACCACGCCAGACCTCAATTCCCTCAGACATTTTTGGGTTTTTTTAAAGATTAATTGTGGGCCAGGCACAGTGGCTTACACCTGTAATCCTGGCATTCTGGGAGGCTAAGCTGAGCAGATTGCTTGAACTCACAAATTCTAGAGCAGCCTGAGCAAAAGTGAGGCCCCTGTCTCTAAAAATAGACAGGTGTTGTTGTGGTGGGCACCTGTAGACCCAGCTACTTATGAGGCTGAGGCAAGAGAATAGCTTGAGTCCAAGAGTTTGAGGTTGCTGTGAGCTACAATGCATGGGTACTCTACCCAGGTCAATACAGTGAGACTCTGTCTCAAAAAAATAAATAAAATAAAAAATAAAATTTAAGCCATTAGGAATAAAGCTACAATTCCCTTGGACCAATATTACTCATCCACAAAGTAATTCCTATTAATAATTTGGTGGGTATCCTATCAGACCTTTTCCTGTGGCTTTATTATCCATGTATACACCTATATAAATGACATAGTATTTTTCAGTACATTTAGATACCTTTTTAAAAATTCAATCAGGTTCCATACAGAAAACAAATGTCCTGTTTAAATTAGAATACTTCGAAAAGAGTTAATAAAGAGACTATTTATAAAGGTACAGGCATGTGAAGAAGTGACAGAGGCAGGCAGGACTTGCATCTCACAGGGTCTTCCAGGCCAGATTGGGAGTTTGGGTTTTACCTTCAGGGCAATGGGAATCTATTCAAGAGTTTTAAGTGGGACAATAGCAGGATCTGGAGTTAGGAATTTAGACATTTAATCTGACTGCTTTGTGAAGACTGGGTGGGAAGGGAGCTGGTTTAAAAGCTGGGAGACAGAGCTGTAGGAGTTGTCCCCAGGAAGGGAAAAGGAGAATGGACCAGGGCTGAGCAGTGAAGATGCAGAGAAGTGGACCAGCCCTTGTGGGATGTATGTGTATCTTGGAGATAGATCCAAGGTATTAGGAAATGGTCTATCAGGCAGAGGGAAGTGAAAAAATGATGTAGTCTTAGAGGGATGAGTAAGATAATGCAGGCATCAAAGATGGAACCAGCCAAGCCAGGAGGACTTGCCAGTCAGGCACAGAGATGACTAGCTGGAGCCAGTTGAGTATGAAGTGGTCATGGTGGAGCCTTCCTGAGAGTTGTCCCTCAGAACCCTGGGATGTGGGAGTTAGAGTGATTACAGAAGGTGCTTCCTAGTGACATGGTCTGGACCATTTCTGCCAGTTCTGAACTTCAAGTCCAACCAGCCTGGAAGCTTGCATGATCTAGAGGGTAACCTGAGTGGGCAATGGGATAGAGGGAGCAGAATGGAAATCTGATGGTGAAATAGTAAGTTTGAAAATACATTTTTGATGATCATGCAGTACCAGGAATTTGAAATGCCAGCCATATTTGGACTTATTTGGGGATAATATTAGAATTAGAACTTAAAAGTGAGAAGTTACATGGGTTGCATTCCCTAAGAAACAGACTCTGAGATGGAGTTTGTCTTTAAAAATAGTAGAGATGTATTTAAAATAGGCTATTTGGATAGTGATGGTTGCTTGGGGCGATCCTTTAACTAAAACAAAAACAACCACCAAAAAAAAAAACCTTTCGTTTTCTTTGGAGAGTTTAGAGGGGAAAAATGGAGTTGGGCTCTGGTTGCATACATTAGAGTGGTTTGCTGCAATTACGTGATTGAGTTTAAGATCTTGGTTGATATTTAGGTCAGCGTTAAAAAATTAAAACCTAAGAAACTCCCCATCCCCTCTCACAGCAGCAACTGCTGACCCCTGAGGCACATTCATAGCCCTGCAGTGACACTGGATTCCTGAATGGAAAGTGAGAGGGATCTGGAATTGATTCTTTATAATAGTTGTCAGGTCCCAAAATTCTCGCTGAAAAACCAAAGAGAATTGGGGATCTATTATAGAGGTATAGCTGTTCTGTGGCAATTTCTGATCAGAAAGAGTTGCCCTGACAGTTACTATCATTCATTTTTCTTTCTTTCTTTCTTTCTTTCTTTCTTTCTTTCTTTTTTTTTTTTTTTGAGACAAAGCCTCAAGCTATTGCCCTGGGTAGAGTGCCATGGCATCACAGGTCACAGCAACCTCCAACTCCTGGGCTCAAGCGAGTCTCCAGCCTCTGCCTCCCAAATAACTGGGACTAGGGCAGTGCCTATGGCTCAAGGAGTAGGGCACTGGCCCCATAGGGAGTGGCAGGTTCAAGTCCAGCCCCAGCCAAAACTCCAAGTAGCTGGGACTACAGGCACCCAGCTATTTATTTATTTTTTTTTAGTTGTAACTGTCATTGTTGTTTGACAGGCCTAGGCTGGGCTGGCTTGAACTCACCAGCTCTGGTGCATGTGGCTGGCACTTTAGCCACTTGAGCCACGTCCATTCATTTTTCCTCTCATGGATCCAACATGAAGGAGTTGGTGAAGAGTAAGTCTGATTCTTCTACCATGTAATGAGGGCCACTCTCCCCCCACCAAAACAGATCATACTCTTTAGGAAATTATAGTAATTAACTTTTGCCTATCTCAATTGCCAAGTATCAGCCTGGTAAGATGGAAAATGGCTTCATAAACCTGGGTTCATGTCTCAGGCCTGTAGCAACTAAGCATATGACTTTGTCACTATACTCCCATGGACTCATTGGTAAAAGGCAAGAGTTAAACCAAATGATCCATTCCAGCTTTAACATACTTTGCTTTGTCTGAAATGAAAATTTATTCAGGCATCTCCCAGAGATATCTGATCCTGCCCTTTCAGTTGATAATACATCATAACATCTTTCCAGCTTGGTGCTAAGTTCTTCACCAACAATCTGGTATTGACTTTTCAGTATCACTCAGTGTTCTTAATTGCAAACAACAGAATCCACTCTAGCTACTTTAACCCTTCCTGATCCTGTGTCAGACCTTGCCTGACATAATGATTTTTTTTGTTTATGAACAAAAACACTTTAATTATTTTGTAACCTAAAATAGATGATAAATCATCAGGTGGGTTCATATTTATGTTTTATTTATGTTTTTCTCTTGTAAAATTGTAGGATAATGACAAGTAATCCACAAACCTCTTTCCTGCCCAAAATAAATAAGAGCTGTAGAGTACATGGGTGACAGAAAAATTGTATTGTAAAGGGTTAATTAGAAAAGCAGCTTGCAGACTTCCCGGGAGAGCCAGAGATCAAGCTCAGAGTCTGTGCTAACATGACCAGTGCCCACATCATACTTGGTCATCTGCTGCAGCAAGCATGCCAGTGTCACCAGTCCCAGTCCCGAATAGAATGTTCACAATGATGCTGCTGAGATTGGCACCCAGACACCTTGCCACTGCTGCTTCAGTCACGTCTGACACATAGACGACAACCTTGTCTACAAGTTGATTCTGCCCAACCCCTGCTTCCTCACATTGCTCACTTCCAAATCAAAGTCCCAGGTGGTACAACTGATTGACAGCACCCAGAGCATAACTACGAGGAAGACTGGGAAAGCAAATTTTGGATCGTACCTTAGAAAGGCTGAATCATAATGTGAACATTTCTTTATACATAGGATGTGTTCCAAGCATCTTAGTTGGCCACACGTGACAAATATAATGATCCTTATTTTTCAGACAGAAAAGTGAGTCTTAAATTCAGAGGCCTATAATAAGTTATACTGCTAGTAATTTAATGAGGTTTAAATCCAGGTCTGTCTAAACGCAAAGACCATGCTCTTTGGCACCCTGTGATACTCGGTATTTTATGGTGAGTAAGCTTTCAAGTAAGGAGCAAAACAAAAATAAAACCTCTAATTTGCCAAATAAAAGTTTTTCCCAACTTTTTCTCTTTCACTATCACCCTCGTTCATGCCCTTCTTTGCCAACTTTGAGACCCTGTCTTTTAAAAAAAGAAAAAGAAAAAAGAAAAAGATAGTCCTGCCATTTGCAGCAACATGAATAAAAACAGGACATTATGATAAGTGACATAAGCTCAGCACAGAAAGATAAATACTGCATCACCTCACGTATACATGGAAGCAACAAGCAAAATGGTGGTTACCAAAGGCCAAAAGGTGGGATGAAAATCCAGAGAGAACTAAAGAATACAAAATTTCAGTTAGGAAGAATAAGTTCAGGAGCTCTATTGTACAAAATGGTGACTATGGTTAAAAATAATGTATTGTATACTTGAAAATTACTAAGAGAATAGATTTTCAGTGTTTTACCTCAAAAAATGCAAAGTAGCAAATATATTAACTAGTTTGACATAGCTATCCTGTAATGAATACATATATCAAAACATCGTGTGTACCATAAACATATATATCATTTGTCAATTTTTTTAAATGTATAAAAATTGTTAGAGTGTACACAGGCAGGCATGATGCCCAGTAGAAGTGAGCAACTCAACTCCAAATTTTGCACATGTGGCTAGACTGACTGATGTCATTACCCACCTCCTCCCACAGGTGTGGGCATCAGTGGGCCCTGTTCTGTTGGACAAACCACTTACTCTCAATATCCATGTGTTGTTTCTCTTTAAAATAAGAGGGTCAGTACGTGGTCTAGCTGAAGGATTCTTTTCTATTCTAAAATGTTATAAACTTAATGTTTTCCAAACACTAGGCCACTCCCTTGAGCCTAGTAGCCAGTGGTTCAGATCAGCAAGGTAATCAGCCATCCTTGGTCACACCTCCTAGAAACATAAACATGACCTCGCTGTCTCTGTGTCCACCCACAGACACCATGGACCCCTTCAATTCCAGGGCAAAAAAAGGCATAAGGAAGGAAAACTGAATTTTGTTAAATGAACAGAGATTTCTACCTCTGTATGGGTTAAATAAAAATCCCTTAAAAAGTTAGGGAAGAAACATTTTCCAAAGCATACAAGGAAAGATTAATCCAAATGGGCTTAGGTTGTGCTGGGTAAAGTGAGGTTTTTTTTTTCTTTTCTTTTTTTTTGCTCAGGGAGAAGCAAAGATGCTGAAAGATGGAAAGGTCTTCAGAGTGGTCCAAGAGAACTGCTGGGATCCAGAAGTTCGCATTAGAGAAATGGACCAAAAAGGTACTTACGATGAGAAATGCTACCTACATTTTCATCTGATGTAAAAGCAATGTCTCATCTTAAATAGTCTGTTTACATGATGGCAACTTCTGACCCCCTTTTCTCTACCAGGACATGGTGTTCTAGCTTCATCAGGAGAGGGAGAAGGCCTTCTACCTCAGTGCTTTTAGAGTGTGGGTTTCAAATGTTTTAAAATTAGTTATATCCTGTTTTAAAATAGAATGCTATGTCATCAAAAAGATAAAAGTGGCAGTTCATTATTTAAAATATTTTAAGTTCAAACATAGCGTATTTACTTATTATAGAATCAATTAAAATAGTAAAAATTGGAAATGACAGATTAAAAATGCCAATTATATACTTAGGATTCAATTTCTTTCTGAGGTTTGTCTCAGTGCACTATACACAGAACATTCCAATGATGTAAGGGGTGGAAATAGAAGTATTAAAAAAAAATAGTAAATGTGGGCAGAGCCTGTGGCTCAAAAGGGTAGGGCACCAGTCCCATATGCCAGAGGTGGCAGGTTCAAACCCAGCCCTGGCCAAAAACAGCAAAATAATAATAATAATAATAATAAGTAAATGTAATATCAAAATACTCTAAATAAAATCAATCCAGAACTTTGAAAAGAGAAAATTAGGAAAGTTTTGTTTTAAAGCTGAATTTGCTTACAATTTCTAAGAACAACTTATAGTCCTTGTATTGGAAAAATCAAACAAGTCCTCATACTTAAAAATAATTTTAAAGACTATGTAAAATGTGATATGATGGCCACATTATGCTTTCACTTGTTACTGCCCAGCTGGCTGTGCCATCTGAGGGGAACACGCTCTAAGAAAATGCACCAAGCCTTCCAGATGCCTGTGAGCTGTGCCTCTGGGCTGTGATGGGGAGCTGACCAACACTGATATTGTCAGAATTAGATTTTTACATTGATGGAAGATCTAAAGTAGAAAACAAACAATTCAAACACAAAAGTAAAAGAGCAGCTTAGAACTATCAACTTCGTAACCAAAGACAGATTATCAGAAGTTCAAATATATACACAGAGACGGTTTGCAAAAAAGGAGTCAACTTGTCTACCCAAAAGGAGTAGGTGGTTTCTGGCATGTTAGCATCGGTTATAAGGTGTTCAGATATTGCTTTATGTATTTTTTAACAATTAAGAATACATTTAGGCTCAGCACCTGTGGCTCAAGTGGCTAAGGCGCCAGCCACATACACCTAAGGTGGCGGGTTCAAATCCAGCCCACAACAATGACGGCTGCAACCAAAAAAATAGCAGGGTGTTGTGGCGGGCGCCTGTGGTCCCAGCTACTTGGGAGGCGGAGGCAGGAGACTCGCTTGAGCCTAGGAGTTGGAGGTTGCTGTGAGCTGTGATGCCATGCACTCTACAGAGGGGGACAGCTTGAGGCTCTATCTCAAAAAAAAAAAAGAATACATTTAAGCAACATTCAATTTGAGCCTTGCCAAAACCCCAAAGCATTTCCATAGATCATTGCACAGAACATAACATATATACCCCTGTTCTAAAAATATATTGGGGTGAGAGAGAAGCTGGAGAAAGAATGTGCTTCCCAGACCCACAGCAGATAGCAAGGTTTTGTTCTAAACGTGAAGTTAGAGCAAGGGCCCACCCTTTCAAGGGGAAAACCTATGACATGAAAGACTAATGTCAGAAACCACAGCTATGGCTGCAGTGCAGGAGAACTGCACGTGTCCCTTTGGTTTTTGTTGTGCATTTCATTCCATGGCTGTCCTTGAAAGAACAGTCATGACTAAGCCTTCCTGAGCATTTACTTCGTGACTGGCACTATTTTAAGCATCTAACGCATATTAACTCATTTAAACCTTGCAACATCCGTAGGAAGTCAACACTCTTGAAAAGAAACAATTCTTGGCATCTTGGATTCCAGAGCCAAACTCAGAGTCCCATTCTTGGTATTCCAGACCATGGGACTACAGCTAGGCTCACTGAGGAGCTGAATTAGAGGGCAAAGTCAAAGTTAGGCATGATCTAAGATGAAAAACCCTGGAAGTCTTGCTTAATTAAAATTTCACAGGAAGGAAAGTAGAAATAAACCTCGGAAAATGGGGTCAGTTAGTTTTCTTTGAATGATCTCACTTTTGTCCAGTCTCCCTGGAAACTGAGGCTAAAGGGTGAGGGAGAGCCTAGGGAAGAGCCTTAAGAGAAAGGGTGCAGGGGGAAGCAAGGAGGGAAGGAGAGCAGGAGGAGACTTGTGGCCACTTGGCCTTGCAGAAAGCAGGAATACTCAGGCTATGCTTCTCACCGGCTTTGCCTTTTTGTGTGTCTGTATCTAGGAGTAACCGTGCAAGCCCTTTCCACCGTTCCCGTCATGTTTAGCTACTGGGTGAGTGTGAAATCTCAAACCATCTTGTTGGTGATAAAGTCTGGTGCCCAGCTTCCCATCAAGTAAACAGATGCATCAAGTCTGAACACTGATCCCATTGAGCACCCCCCAGCTGTCCTCCCCATAGAGATCTGGAGGGTGCCTCAGCCTACCCCATTGCAACAGCCCCTCCCAGGCCTGCCCTCTTACCCACATCTTAGCAGCCAGTAGTCACATGTGGCTATGTGACTGGCATTACAGTTGTACTGGACAACTTGTCTGTTGTCTTCTAGACCAGCCTCACTCTCCACCAGACTTGTCTGTCTAGTAACTCATTCCAGCAATGCCTTACTATGGAAGTGACAAGCCAGTGTATTCTGGGGTGAGAATTTGAGGTAGGAACGATAATCTTGGCCTAATATGTTACCTCTCTCAGAGAAATACTTGTATGTAATTCAGAAGGGAGTCCTAAAATTGGATTCCCTTCCCCAAGTGAATAAATCTCAAGTGCTGAATGTTTCAGGCATGAATTTGAGCCTGTGGAGCAGGGGTCCTCAAACTTTGTAAACAGGGGGCCAGTTCACTGTCCCTCAGACCACTGGAGGGCCGGACTGTGGGTCCCGGGACAAGTTGGCTACTAAGCAGGACAGGCAGCGGGGAAAACACCCAGTGGGCCAGATAAATGTCCTAGGCGGGCAGTAGTTTGAGGACACCTGCTATAGAGGAAGATGTTTGTGCATAGCTGCAAGTGCACCAAGTACCTGCTCGATCAAGCAGACACTCACTCCCATTGTGACTTAAAAAAAAATGAAAATACCCACCCGCTCACACTTCCTTCCTCCACCTGTGTTCACAAACCCAGTTAGTGAGGGATTCAGTCCTTCCCTGTTCCTGTGATTAGACCCACTACTTCAATAACCTCAGACCTCAATATGTCTGAATTTATCAGTTGGAGAACCACCCTGACTGCACAGCTGGGACTGCAGGGAGTAGCAAAGTCTTGGCAGTGGGCTGAGGGCGGGTGGGTGATGTCGAAAGAAAAGGAAACAATGAAGAAGAGAAAGGGGAACCAAAAGCAAACTTGCCTCAGCATTTTGCCAAGGACAGCCCTGAATGTCATAGCCACCAGGAAGGACAGAGAGAAGGACAGGCTGAGACAGGAGTAGTCCATAAGCCTTTGTCCAGGCCCAGCCTCTGCTGAGGGGGTTGGGGGAGGGGCAGTTCAGGATCTTTCTAAATTTTGGCAGTGGCCCATCCTCCTTCCATCTCTGGGTCCTGTAATTGTGTCCTTCACTTCTAATTGTAGCCTCAATTTTTTCAATTAATCAGCAATGTACTACCAGTTTTCTTTGATTTTGCAGAGATTCACTTCTGGGTCTTCTGTGGCCAGTGCCTTTCCCAGGCTGTGCCTCAGTTTTCCCACGTGGTAAAGCCAATTGAGAATAGTGAGTATTTTTGGCACGAGAAGGCTGTGTTCAGAGTAAGTATCTAAAGAAGAAGGTTTGAACAATGATGTCGCTTTTCCTTTCCTGTTGCCACCAGGCCAAACCTCAGGACACTTTAAGCTTGTGCCAGCTTTTAAACAATGACCTGGCAGCCACTGTCGCAAGCCACCCCAGGAGGTTTGTGGGCCTGGGAACGCTGCCCATGCAAGCCCCGGAGCTGGCCATCGAGGAGATGGAACGCTGCGTGAAGGAGCTGGGCTTTCCAGGAGTCCAGATCGGTTCCCACATCAATGAGTGGGACCTGAACGCGAGGGAGCTCTTCCCTGTCTATGCGGTGAGTACGGCTGTGCAGACCCCACGGGGTGCTGTTGAGGACGAGAGGAAGCGCCGCACCCCCGGGAGGGTGAGGGAGATGCCCACGGCATATTGGATGTAGGCAGGAGGTGGGAGAACAGCTCCCCAAAAGGAGAAGACCACTGTACAGAAGAGGGCCAAGTAGAAATGCTTCCAGGGCCAGCCCTCTGTTAACCCAGTGAAACCTCTCCTCTTTCTATCTCCCTCGCTCTCCTTTTAACCTTTCACTTGGAAGGCAAAACATTACCTTCATCAGTCACTGTGCATAAGAACCCTATGCCCCAGCAAAGTATTTATTTTTGCTTTGGAAAAAAATACATAACATTTTTCAAAATGATGAAATGATCTTGAAGAAACTATGGAAAATACAAAAAAGTATAAAGACAAAAATATTACCCATAATCCAGGCACCAAAGATAAGTAACCATTGTTACAGTACATTTCACTTGGCTTTTTAAAGTTGCATATATCTATATTTTAACAAAATTGAAATTGTCACGCATGAGATTTCGTATCCTAATTAAGAATTTCCAACCTAAATGAAAATTCTCTTAATGTGTGATTTTTTAGTAATTGTAGAATATTCCAATATGTCGATATGCTTTGATTGATTTAACCAATCCTCAATTAAGGTACTTTTTAAGCCATATATTTTGAAAATGCATGTAAAATGTAGTATGTAATAAAAAAATAATGCCACAAAAATGTTAACATTTGATCAAAGTAGATGGTGTGCCTTTTGGTTCTCTGACTAGCACCATGGCAGTTGGCAAGAACAAGTGCCTTCGGAAAGGTGTCAAAAAGGAAGCCAGGTTGATCCATTTTCCAGGAAAGATTGGTATGATGTGAAGGCACCTGCTAAATTCAATATAAGAAATATTGGAAAAACTAGTCACCAGGACTCAAGGAAACAAAATTGCATACGATGCCCTCAAGCATTATGTGTTTGAAGTGAGTCTTGCTGGTCTGCAAAATGATGAATCTGCATTTAGAATATCCTAGCTGATTACTGAAGATGTTCAGGGCCAAAACTGCCTAACTTGCATGGCATGGATCTTACCTATGACAAAGTGTGCCTCATGGATAAAAAAATGGCAGAACATTTTCAACTGAAGCTCGTGTTGATGTCAAGACCACAGATGGTTATTGGCTTCATCTGTTCTGTGTTGGTTTTACTAAAAATGTAACAATCAGATATGAAGATCCCTTACACCCAGCACCAACAGGTTTGCCAAATCTGGAAGATGATGGAAATCATGACCAGAGACGTGCAGACAAATAATTGAAAGAAATAGTCAATGAATTGATTTCAGACAGCTTTGGAAAAAATATAGAAAAGGCCTGCCGGTCTATTTATCCTCTTTATGATTTCTTCATTAGAAAAGTAAAAATCGTGAAGAAGTTTGAACTGGGAAAATTCATAGAGCTTCTTGGTGAGGGTAGTAGTTCTAGAAAAGCTACTGGGGACGAGCCAGGTGCTAAAGTTGAACAAACTGATGGATATGAACCACCAGTCCAAGAATCTGTGTAAAAATCAGGCGTTTAATAATGACAAGGAGTCTTATTTGTAGGGGAAAAAAGTAGATGGTGAGTATATGAATGCTCATTGCATTATTGTTTACACTTTCTACATTTAAAATATCTCATGATAATATATATTTTCAAAAATTCAGTGCCACTCTTTTTGAAGCATCTAACTTAAGTACCCATAGTCCCATAGTCCTGTCTATCCATCCTCTTCTTCATCTACTTTCAATTCTTTCTGTAACTAAATCTGCTCTCCTCAGTACCAGGATTCATGATGCATAATTATTTACTGAATTGTACTTTTAAGTTTCTTATTTCCCTCCTAGAATTATAATATTGCTTTCCATTATTTTCATTGTAAATGCAGTCTTTAGTAATGAACAGTTGTTTGTGGCACCATAATCACTGATCATTTGTTCATTTAATATTTACTGAGCTCTAACTACATGCAAAAATTATTCAATATGTCTATCTAAACTGCCCCCCAGTTGGAGGATTGCCTGTTAGATTCTCTCCAAATGAACTGAAAAATTTAGTAGTCCTCTAAAATATTGAACTCCCTGAAGCTTGGCTGCAGCAGCTTAGATGTTGCAGTGAATATTTTCTAGAAATTTCAAGGAGCTTCTGCAAGATGATTTATTTACTTGTGAGTCCAAGTCTCAGCACAGTGTGAGTGAGACTTCAGCTTCAAGTCATTTTATTATTCATTGCAACTGAGTTTATGAATTACTAATGGGTTTAGAAAGCAACAGCAATTGGTTGGAGTCCACATGGATATTTTCACTTGTGTGACTAGCTTGACCCATCAATCATTCTAACTAGACTGTTTTAGGGGCTGAGAGTCTCTGAGGGGATTCAGGAGCACATCCTGGCCCCAGTTGACTAGTAATGTCCTGGAAGTGACAACACATTTATTTGGTTAGCAAGACTTGCCTACCTCACTGCTCTCTAACTTGAATCACTACCATGTGCTGAAACAAATGAAAGGAATTACCACAAGCGGAGCTGGCTTCATCATTTCAAGGTGAGCCGGGTGCTCCAGAGCATCTAACCCTTATCTCCTAGATCCCCTTCTTAGTAAATGAACCCAATCATACGCATTCAAGGCAGTTTCCAGGCACAAAAGGTTCTTTGTTACTGACAGACAGAATGATAGGGCCACACTGTATGGCTCCCCCATTGATCAGCCTTTATCTGCCTTAGTTTCCATCTCTGTAAAATGAAGATGATAAGAGAGCTCATTTCATAAAGGATTAAACTAGTTAGTAGTTGCAAAATTCTCATAACAGCTTTGGCACATGGTAAGTTCTCCATGTTAGTTGTGATTTTAAGAGCATGTGATTTCTTTTTTGTGTTTGATACAATGCCTCACATATAGATTTTAAAATGTGTTAATTTAAACTGAATAGAAATAAATCATCACAGACACATAAAGTTTTATCCTAACGAGGAGTCAAATCTCACTGAAATATCAGGATCATGTGCCTTTGCCAAACTCAAACTAACCCAAGAAGTTATTCTCTCTCCAAACTGCATCCATTATCAGAAACCAATCAGCTCCTCACCCTTGGAAAAGCTTATATCTCTTCTGCTCCCCAGAGCCTGTTGAATTAGAAGTCCTCTCTTTCACACCTGTAATCCTAGCACTCTGAGAGGCCTAGGTAGGAGGATTACTTGAGCTCAGGATTCAAGACTAGCCTGAGGAAAAGCAAGACCTTATCTCTAAAACTATAGAAAATAGCTAGGCATAGTGGTGCATGCCTATCGTTCAGCTACTTGGGAGGTTGTGGCAAGAGAATTTCCTGTGCCCAAGAGTTTGAAGTTGCTGTGAGCTATGATGATGCCACGACACTCTAGCCTGGGTAACAGAGTGAGACTCTGTCTCAAAAAACAAAAATCAAGAAGTCCTTTCCTCAGTTTACCTGTTCCTTGCCACTTCCAGAACCCCCTGTTGTCCCAGAATTGTTTTTGCATTTAAAAATTCTATGAACACAGTTCACATTACATCAGCCTGGTTAGCATGAATATTATGTATGAAAGTTGGATGAATCACTCCAGAACCCCGGTATTTTGGGAAAGCTGTTCTAAGAGAAATATGTTTTCAACTTTGGCAACACTAATATTCAAAGCCTGTTGAGGGAACTTCTAATCATTAAACAATTTTACTGAATAAAGGTCATTCCATCCAGATGATTTGTCCATTTCCCAGGCAGTCCCAGAGTGGGTTTGCCCATGGCATTCATCCTGACACCTGCCTGGCTGAAGCATCAAGAGATCTTTCCTCTCTGAGGTCATCACGACAAACTGTTCAAGGATTCAGCTGGGCTCTGGGGGCTGTGCAAGCTCCTGTGCCCCCAGTGTTGGGCTCTCTGTGATCAGATGGCTCCGATCAGGCTCCCAGCCCATCACTTCCTTACTTTCCCCAGTCTTGGGTTTCCAAGTAGGGGAAAGGAGGGAGCTCTCTCACCCTGACTCCAAAGATATAATTTCAGATACAATCTCAGCAGTCCTTCTGAAGGAAAGGACCAAGCAAGAGCCAGCAGGGAAAATCTCCCCCACATTTGAGGTGTGCGATTAGTCCTTGAATGATGCTTCCTTTGCCAAACAATATATTAAATTCATCAACCTCAATGGTAAATGTGCCAACACCCTTTGTTAATTCTAACCATCCCTTTTATTTTCCAAGCAGGAGCAGAGTTTGTCAATGACTCTTTTGTATAGATGGTGAAACAACTTAAAAAGTATTTCACTTTCTTTATCCAGACCAATATAGACCTAGAGAAAAGCAATTTTCCCAAGACAGAATCTTGTATTTGCTGGCTCATCCAAGTAACGCTCTCTCTCTCTCATTGCTTCTTTGAAGGCGGCTGAAAGGCTAAATTGTTCCCTGTTTGTGCACCCCTGGGACATGCAGATGGACGGACGGATGGCCAAATACTGGTTTCCTTGGCTCGTAGGTTTGTGCCTGCTTGGGTCTGGAATGTAGAACCAACTCTTGGTTTTTCCCAATCATCTGTGAAACCCTATTATGTCCAATAGAAAAAATATAAATAATTAACAGGATTGTGAGTAATAGCAACTATCACTTATTGCACCCTTACTCAGATCAATGCTGTACATATTGCCTCATTTAGTTTTAATTGTATCCCATACGGTCATAAATAAATCACATAAATAAATTATGTAGTTAACCTATGAGGTTGACATTATAATAACCATTTTACAGATGGAGAAATGGAGTCTTAGAGTGGTTAGATAAACTGTCCAAGTCATACAGTTAAAAAGGAAAAATGGAATTTACACAGATCTGTCTGACTCGAAAGTGACCTTGCTACACAGACTCCCAAAGAGGCTCTAAAAAAAAAAAGTAGCCATTTGGGCGGCACCTGTGGCTCAGTGGGTAGGGCGCCGGCCCCATATACCAAGGGTGACAGGTTTGAACATGGCCTTAGCCAGCTAAAACAGCAGTGGCAACTGCAACAAAAATAGCTGGGCATTGTGGCAAGCACCTGTAGTCCCAGCAACTCTGGAGGCTGAGGCAAGAGAATCACCCTAGCCCAAGAGCTGGAGGTTGCTGTGAGCTGTGATGCCACAGCACTCTACCAAGGGTGACAAAGTGAGACTCTGTCTCAAAAAAAAAAAAAAAGTAGCCATGCCTGTCTAATAGATTTTTCTTTAGAAGCTGATAATAGCATCAACTCTTACAAATGAGAACCATGGAATCATAAGGAGAAGGTCCACTTCCTCCACCCAGGGATCCGAAGTCTTAAACTATCAATGACTTGGGCTTACGGTTGCCCTTATCTGCTCCTCTCCTCTGTCCTCTGCCTCCTGCACTGTTCATTCCTAGATCCACACGGGGTAAGGAAAGGGAAAAAGGAGAAGCCTCTGATTCGGCCTGTCCAATCTCTCCTTATCAATATTACTAAGAAGAGCTAGAGAAAAGATACAAAATCCTGAAGCTACAAATGAAAAGTGCAGCTCTTCTATGAACCCAGTGAAACATGGGTCACCCCAAAAAGGGACTGAACTTCCTTAGGGGGCCATTATCTATTCTCTCCCCAGCCCACTTAGTACAATTAGTAATTAAGAAATCAGCAAAATGGCAACCATCATGAAGAATTAGATGGAGCAATGTGTTTTAAGTCAAAAAAACTGAATTTCAGTTCTAGCTTAGTCTGTATTTCACTGTATAACCTGTAGTCAATCACTTTTTACCTGGGTGTGCCCCTAGATCCTCATCCATAAAATGAAAATGCTGATCTGGATTCCTACAAAGGTCTCTTTCCACTCTGACATTTTATATGTTCCTATGATTGCTGTTGGGGACCAAAGTACTGACTTAATAAGGCAGCTCCTACCCTCCACCAAATTCTTGAGCCACACTTAGTAGAGATAACAGAGGCCCAGTGCTGTCAAGTTTCAAAGAAAACATTGAACATCCATATTCACAAAACTTGACAAGTCCCATAAACCTATTTATATTACGACTTCCCACAGACAGTTCCCCCTACAAGGGGCAAACAGGAAGGTTCAGATGATTCTCTTTCCCAAAGTAATGGCGTGTATACAGCCAAGCCATGACGTGGCACAGGGACCCCACATTTCTTATCATTGACAGTTCCCCCAGCCATTAGCTGCCATTCCCGTCATTAACATCATGGAACTTCTTGCTTGAGATGACAAGTCCTGAGCCTGTGACTATTTCATCTTTCAGGAATGCCAACAGAGACCACCATAGCCGTTGGCTCCATGATCATGGGTGGAGTGTTTGAGAAGTTCCCTAAACTGAAAGTGTGTTTTGCACATGGAGGTAAGACCCTGTCTCTATTAGCTCAACCTGTCATAACAAGACACCATAGACTAGGTAGAATAGAAATAGAAATTTATTCTTTCACAGTTCTGGAGACTAGAAGTCTAAGATAAGGTGATGGCAGGGTGGTTTCTAGCAAGGGCTCTCTTCCTATCTTGCAGATAGCCACCTTCTTTTCATGGCCCTTCTTCTGTGCATTCAAGGGCAAACACTGGTGTCCTTTCGTCTCCTTATAAGGGACATTAGTTCTATTAAATTAAACCCTACTTTATGACCTCATGTAATCTTAATTACCTCCTTAAAGGCCCTTTCTCCAGATATAGTCACATTGGGAATTAGGGATTCAACGTAGGAATTTTGGAGAGATATAATTCAGTCTATAACATCCTCCCAGCCATCATTCTAGTCATGATAGTTTGAGGACCAAATTTTGTGGACAAGTTTAGTTTGCTTGGCACAGTTTTTGTTTTGTTTTGTTTTTTATTTAAATCCCTGTAGTAAGACTTTGAGCTCTCTTGTCTGCCAAAGTCCCTACCATACTCCATTGCTTACAAATAAGCCTATTTCATTCTTTTCCATTGCTTGCCTGGCCCCTGTGGGTAACTGAATTTGTGACTCTTGCACACACACACAATATAAAACTATACATGTGGTTCTCTAACTTGCTTTTCCTTTTCAACAAAGCAGAGAAGATTCTCTTCATGTAAATACAGAGCTTCAGCATTTTTGATGGCTTCATGAATGACATTACATTTTGTGGATGTGCCATCATGATATAGATAGTCCTCAATTGACAGATTGTCTCAGTATTTTGCTATCATAATCACACTACATTTGAGAACCTTGACCACACATCTTTACCTGGTTGTCTTCTCTCAAATTTCTCAAGTCTGAATTTCTAGGTGAGTCAATGTCATTTCTTCTGGGTCATCTCCCAGCACTTGAAATGCAGTGAATGTTTTGTAATTACTGTTAACCAGCTGGGCTACTGTTACTTCTTACGTACAACATCAGGACTGAAGGAATCCTTTCCCAGCAACACTCTCTGTAATGGGTTTTACTTGCAGGTGGTGCCTTCGCCTTCACAGTGGGAAGAATCTCTCATGGATTTAGCATGCGACCTGATCTGTGTGCCCAAGACAATCCAATCAACCCAAAGAAATACCTTGGTTCCTTTTATACGGACTCCTTGGTTCATGATCCTCTGTCCCTCAAGTTGTTAACAGATGTCATAGGAAAGGTAAGCCAGGTTTGCTATTTGAATGGTATATGGTGAACACAATGCTGGATTAGCAACCAGATACTTGGCCTCTCTCCAAGAACAGGCATAAGAAGAAGGGAGAGGCATAGAGAGGTTTGGGATTAGGTTTACTTGCACAGCAGATTCTCTCCAGGGCCTCCCACAACATAGAGTGTGTATCACGAGGGAAGTACTTCACCTGACAGAGAAATCTCAGATAATTCACATGGCCAGAAATTTCCCCCGGGTCAGCTCTTCTTCCTTAGGGACACCTCTGTATCCATCTAAAATAACATGTGACAACATGGGGAGCAGGAAAGAGCTACTCTTTTGAAGTCAAATTGGACTGGGTTAAAATCCTGGTTCCATCTATTACTAGTTGGGTAAATTGTTAACACAACTGTCGTCATTCACTAAATGGAGAAAACTGGGACATTAGAAGGAGGAAACGCAGGGCTGGGAACCGGCACTGGACAGGGAGTCAGGGAAAATGGTAGAGGGGCAAGCGTGTGCCATAGTGTGAAATTCCTTCCTGGAATATTAGGCCTTTATTTTGAAAACATTTCTCTAATTTGATTAATAACCCCTACTTTTATGTATTCTTTGAAAAGGCTAATTCAGCAAGTTAGAGAATTTAGGTCAAAGGCCAGTATAAATTAGCAAAAAGTCTGAAATATTTAGTACTTCGATTCTATTGTGTTATTTACAGATACCTACAGATTTCCAAATCTTCCCAAGGAAAAATATCTTTGGGGTTCTTAAAAAGTATGTGGACATATTTAAAGATTTGCAGTATGCTCAGGTTGAGATTAGACTCTAAGATCTAAACAATCTTCTTTAGCAGAGGAAGAGTCCCTCATGTAGAAGTTACAAGTATTCTATCTCCAGAATAAACAGTTCATCTTACTTTAATGCTAACTGTTACTCTGACTTGAGGAGATAACTAGAATGTAAATGTTTAACATTCTAGTTTGGTAATAAATTATCTAGCTTCTGTGTTGCACCTACAGAGATGGGTGCCGTGATGTTGATTGTTTTGGATTTGGATGGAGGGCAATGACGACATGTGTAAACAGGAAACTACAAAGGGGAGAAGCCAAAAGAGACTCATGAGCTCTGGACTTTGAGTAGTAGAGGAGGGGAAGAGGGAAAGTGGTGTGGAATTAGGAAGAGGGTCATCCTCATTACATCCCATCAAGCCTAGTATCCCCTGGTATTCTTGGAAATGGAAACATCAGGAGAAAAAGCCCTTGGGAAATGCAAAGTCCATCTTCTGAGGTTCATAGCAGTGAGGGTCACTGTCGCCTTCAAACAGCAAGGGCAATACACATTGGCCAGGGGCCAGAGCAGAAGAAGAAGAACATGGCAAGAGCCTCGTGGTAACATGTGGATAGACCAGTTGGTGAGAACAGGTGATTACACCCCTATTAGGAACTCCCAGAAAAACTCAGAGGGCACTTTGCAAAGTTAGTGGTGCTGAGATCTTGCATTCAAACTGTGAACGCTTGAGCTATTATAATTTGGGCATCAAAAGTAAATGTGACCTCATTTTATGTGATCTCACAGGCTGATGAATCCAGGATATAGAAGCAGTGCATATCAATAATTTAGAATTCTTTTTAAAATATTAATGCTTTTTCATTCTAGTTATATTCACATTAGCAAATTCTCTTTCAAAAACAATCCCGCCGGTTGTTGGCCCCTGGCGGCCCCTCCCCGACCGGGCCGCGCGCCCCCCCGCGGCCCCCCGCGGCCGGGCCCGCCGCCACCATGAAGAAATTCTTCCAGGAGATCAAAGCCGATATCAAGTTCAAGAGCGCGGGACCCGGTCAAAAGCTCACAGAGTCCGCGGGGGAGAAGGCCCCTAGAGAGAAACCAAACCAGCCAGCCCTCAGGCAGACCCGCCAGGGACCCACTGATGAGGCACAGATGGCAGCTGCTGCTGCTCTGGCCCGGCTGGAGCAGAAGCAGCCCAGGGCACGGGGCCCCACGTCACAGGACTCCATCCGGAACCAAGTGAAAAAGGAACTTCGAGCTGAAGCTACTGTCAGCGGGAACCCGGAGGTTCTAGGAACCAATGTGGTACCCGAGTCCAAAGAGGAAGGCTCAACCCACCTGGCAGTACCCGGCGTGTATTTCACGTGTCCGCTCACTGGGGCCACCCTGAGGAAGGACCAGCCTGATGCCCGCATCAGAGAGGCTATTCTCTCACACTTTGCCACTGACCCAGTGGCTGCCTCCATCATGAAGATCCACACCTTCAACAAAGATCGAGATAGGGTGAAGCTGGGCGTGGACACCATTGCCAAGTACTTAGACAACATCCACCTACATCCTGAGGAGGAGAAGTACCAGAAGATCAAGCTACAGAACAAGGTGTTCCAGGAGCGCATTAACTGCCTGGAAGGGGCCCATGAGTTTTTTGAGGCCATCGGGTTCCAGAAGGTGATGCTGCCAGTTCCTGATAAGGAGGGCCCCGAGGAGTTCTATGTGCTGAGTGAGGCAGTGCTGGCCCAGCCCCAGAACCTGGAGAAGCACCGAGAGCAGCTGCTGGCTGCAGAGCCCGTGCGGGCCACACTGAACCGCCAGCGGCGTGTCTTCCGGCCATCACCCCTGGCCTCACAGTTTGACCTGCCTGCAGACTTCTTCAATCTCACAGCAGAGGAGATCAAGCGGGAGCAGAGGCTCAGGTGGGCAAGGCATCTGCAGGTGTGGGTGGGTGGTGGCACTGGGGCTAGCAACCTGAGCCTTCTGTGGTGCCCAGGTCGGATGCCGTGGAGCGGCTGAGCGTGCTGCGTACCAAGGCCATGCGGGAAAAGGAGGAGCAGCGGGAGCTGCGCAAGTACACCTATGCACTGCTGCGAGTACGCCTCCCTGACGGCTGCCTGCTGCAGGGGACCTTCTACGCCCGTGAGCGGATGGCAGCAGTCTACGGGTTTGTCAGGGAGGCCTTGCAGAGTGACTGGCTGCCTTTTGAGCTGCTGGCCTCAGGAGGGCAGAAGTTGTCGGAGGATGAGAACCTGGCCTTGAATGAGTGTGGGCTGGTGC